AAGAGTTTAAGAAACAAATTAGTAACTGAAAATTAGTAACTGAAATCAGCATATAGCTATAAAATTTGTAACTGAAATCAACATATTTTATAAAGAAAGCAAAAACTAACGGCAATTGGTATATCACAATAGAACAACAGTCTAATGATACAACAAGTCTGATGCTAAAAAAAAAAAAATGAAATTATCCATGCTGATACAAAAGGTATAGAAACTACAAGCATTTCTTATCTTTTCAGACAAGGATAACTTGTATCTCATTGTATCTCATTCATAACAAAATTCTCTGAATTCCAGAAGCCAGGCAGAATACTCAACACCATCTATTAAACCCTTTTTACATCTTTGAGACTAGAGATCTTAAACGTAATAATGCAAAAATAAGCTCATGGAATCCCTAACATTGTCTTTTGTTTTCTTTTCTTTAACATTCAGCATTAAAAAAAAAAAAAAGAAAAGAAAAAAAAACAGCTCAAGCAAACAAAATCTTAGTGTTGTGCCAATAATTGAGCAGGGTAAATGGGCTGACCTTGGAACTATAGGCCGATTACCCTGACTTTGGTCCCAGGCAGAGTCATGAAAAGGCCAAAGCAAGCAACGAAGTATTAAAAGATGGAAACACAATTAGTCCCAGTCAACAGACCTTTATGGTAGAAGGACTTGTCAAATTAATCTGTTATTTCCTCCAAGATTACACATTTGGTTGACAAAAGTAACAGTGTTGACATAACACACGTAGACTTCTGTGTGACATCTGACTTTGGCCAGTATGACAGTGTGATAATAAAAACACCAGCACTGTACAAACATCAGGGTAGTCCATATCAAGGGGATTAACAACTGGTTGAGTCTGGTGACCTCATTATAGTTATACCTGTGCTGACTGTGCCACTGAGGTCTCAGCTCCCTCAAGAGGGGCAACATTCTCACCAGGGAACAGGACCTACAGATCAGAAAGATCTTTGGCAGCAGAAATAGCTAGAGAAAAAGCCAAAAAACACCATTTTTTTCAGCTGAAAAATGGAATGCCTATGACAGACAATACAGAGACCCAGCCATGCAGTTACCTTGTGCCTTTCCCTTGCACAAGGGCGGAAGGCTGGCACTGCATCCCGAGATGACACTTCTGATGCAGCTACAGCTCTGGGTCCGTCCTACAGCACTTCCTGGCTTCAGTTCCTGGCTAAGGACCTGTTTGCTGCATCAGCAGTTGCAAAACTGGGAATGCAAATCACCCAGGAACTGAGGAAAGGTTGAGTACATAGGAGCAAAGCCCTTCCAAGACCGTCCCTCCTCTCCCCCTCCATCTGTAATCTGCTTCGTGCCAGTCACACCAAAGAGCAAAGCATCTAAATCGTTCTCTTCCTAGGTAGCCCAGCCACCTTTACAAACCCACATTCTCTTTGGCGTGGGCTTGACTGAGACCTTGTCACATCCCAGGAGTCATGGTACACACTAATACACATCTGGGATGCAGTAAGTGCAGATATGGGCAAGCCCTGGGCCCAACCTTTCTTCCTGCATGTGAAACTCCAGGCAGCATTACTGCACAGTGTGGTTTTTCAAGAAATGCATATTTTGGCTGTACACGCTATGTTTTCAGGAAGTTCAGAAGAGGTAGAAAAGTGTATTTCCAGAGCTGTTGCCCAAAGAACAGACTGATTTATTTAAAAGTTTTGACTGTTTGTTGGTGCAGATTTTCACATTTGTGAAGTTAGCAGGAACCACAAATGAGAAGCTGCAAACACAGACATGCCAACAACTCTTAGTCTGTCACGATTTTTTGCTTGCCATTTAATACACCATTCACTCACATTATTTCCTACTTAAAGTCATAAATTACTCTCAGTGCTCTGAATACCTTCCAGCAAGAACACAGGAAAGGTGAACACCTGCCCGATGCATGTTACTAACTTTCGGAGGGGAGAAGTGAAGCAGTGATTTCTTTTGGAAAGTCTTAAAGATTAGGTGTTTGCTGTTAAATTAATATGTTCAGCACCTCATACTTGATAGCGAGAGAAAGGTGGCCAGGTTTACAAAGACTCTCAGCACCTAGGAAGCATTTAACCTCCCATAAAGAAAGATGCCATAAAGAGACACAGACATCTCTTCTGGCAGAGGAGCAATCTCTCCCCATGCCCTTCACCCTCAACCATAAGCATACGGACCCAAGGCTGGAACTTCCCTGGAAGCTCTCAGATTGGACATACAGGCAGCTCCAAGCATCCAGCTCTCTGGACACCCACCCTTCCCCAAAGATGAGCAGCTTCTTGCCATTTTCACCACATTGCTGTTATCTGCCAGAGAAACTGTGAAGGTCTGAATAACTGACTCCAGGTCATTCTTCACCAGAATGGGAGGGAGCCCACTGCAGATAGCAGAAGTGCCACTCATGGACACTGCTACATGAAAGCTTGATGTCAGCAGTGCTCCTACACAACTGACCCAGTGACCAACTGTGGATGTGAACTCTCCAACAGCAAGAAAGCCCTGGGGCTTTGAATGAAGCCAGATTTCCTCTATCCTCTTTCTCTTCATTCACTCCAGGCAGCTCTTCTTCACCCATAAACCAATATCCTCCAGGCACTTGGCCACCTTGGCCCTTCAGGAGACAGGGATGGAGGCTTTGACGAGACCCTGCTGCCAGCCACACACAAACTCAGCCTGTTTTATCCAGGCTGTGTGCAGATGCTCAAGTGTGCCAAGTGCTGCAGAGGGGCCCAGGAGGCTGTGACCGAAAACCCTGTCCTGAAGAAGGAGGTCACCCGCCAGAGCCTCAGAGGCAGTGACACTTTCATGTCCCAGCCTGAATCCAGCTTCTCCTGCAATGCGGTTTTAGCTCCAAGTGACGACCTTGTAGCTGGTCTCTCGTTGCTTCCCCACGAGCTTGCTCCAGAAACATGGCTTGGCACTTGCAGGGTTTGGCAAGAACCAACACAGCCGTAAGGGGTGTCTTGTCTATTCATTGGACTGGCTTAGCATATGTTTGAACGAGAGCAGGAAATTCTTTGTCTAAAGGACTTCTAGCTGGCTGCTGCGCTCTGGATAAGCATCCTTGTCCGTGGGCTTGTTCGCGAGCCAGGAGGAGCACAAATCAAGCCGAGACCCCTTGACTTCTTGTTCTGCATTCAGGAAGGCAGACAGGCTGTTTGCTTGCCAACACAGACAGATGCAGGATGTTGTTTGAACATCCCAAACACACATGATCCTCTCAGCAAAATAAGATTAAATTCTGGTTAGACATTTTAACTTAACGAATATGGGACCACCATCGTTAGTCTGACGGCCTCACTTTCCGGATCTTGACCTCTCCACTGGCTTTGCAAACATATTCCCAACTTAGGCTGCAGACTGAGAGAACAACAACACTCAGGGCACTGAATCAGGACAGGACTCTTGATAGTCCTCTCCTTGATAGTCCTCTCCTGGCTTTAAAGTGTGAACCTATGCACTCTCTGCTGGTCACGCTCTAAATTCTCTGTATAACAAGAGTCACTTCCTCAGTTAACAAAGATTTCACTTGTATCAGTTTTACCAATGCATCCCAATGGCTTATATTTAGAGCAGACAGTAAGCTACAGAGAAATATTCAGTTTTGACAATATCTCTGTTTTCATTTACAAAGGCTGTTCTTTTACACTTTTGCTTTAATTCACCTACCCAGGAGACATTCTTAAGATAGGAAATACATTCATGCAATTAACAATTTGAAAGGAGATAGAAACAGCTAAATAGTTTCAGATCTGCCTGCTGTATTACCTAGCCAGATGACATAAACCTTTAGTTATAAAGTTTTAATTTTATCTTAGGAACTTTTCTTTTTCTTTTCCTTCTGAGGACCACTGACTAGAAGTCCATAATGTTCACATTTTAAAACAAAGCCGCTTAAGATAATTGAAAATACCCTTCTGAACTAAATTTAAGTTATCATACCCAGTACAATATTTTCATGGATTGTGGACTGTAGGTCACATTTAATTTATCCGTTAAAACAGAGTAATTCACTGGACCAGGCCACAGTGTCCATCACCTGCCCTAGCCAGCAGCCACATTATATACTTCTGTTAATAAACTAATCAAATGTTAATGAAAGGGCACTGTCTCGTTATCCTTACCCAAAGACTACTTTTACTGAACTCTGTCAAGTTGCTCCACATTTACAGGAGAATAAGAGAGAGATCAGGGTCTCCAGTTTATATCACAAACTGTAAATCCTGCAGACATCTCACTATAATCATTTTACAAGCTGCAAAACTGAAGTTCACTTTACCTCTTTTGCTGTAAAAGTAGATAAGGTCATAGTCACTAACAAAACATACCCTACAGTAGCTTTTCAACAGTGCTATAGAGACCACCTGCAACTCCTTACAGAACAGAGGTTCTTGCTAAAACAACACCACACAGAAGGCAGAAAAAGGACACTCTCCAAATACATAGCTTTCTTTAAAATAGATACTATTAGTATGAATATTACAGCTTTCATAGGTTAACTCATAGGGAAGTCATTATGTAAAGCCTCAAGCTGTATTTACAAACTACCCACGGAAAAGAGCTGGAAAGTCTTTCTGGTCCGATTTCACTTTGTCACCTAAGTAAAGCAGAGCAGCTTTAAGGTGAAAATATTAAACTGAAATGAGGCAGGAACATAAACACAGGTGCGGAGCCCGGCTGGAGGTTCCTCCTAGGGACACGACTCATCCCCTGCACTTGACTCCCGTCCTCCCCGCGCCTGCTCTCCTCGCTCTACCCCGGCAAGCTTCTCCCTGCGATTAACGAGAGGTTTACCTGGGTTACGCCTTGAGGACTGGCTCCTGCATGTGCAGCTGTCTCTGGGAGACAAAAAAAGTTGGGAGAAGTTGGAGCACAGAGCAGCGACGCGGGGAAGGAGCCCAGTCAGCGCTGCCCTCGCCCCGGGGGCCGCAGCGCGGGCCGGGGCCGGAGCCGGGGCCGGGGCCGGGGCGAAGTTTGGGAAGTTGCCGCCCGGCTCCCCCCGCACTCACCGGCGTTGCGGAGCTTCTTGTTCCTCAGCACGGACAGGATGACGAGCACGTTGCCCAGGATGTCGCCCACGATGGTGACGATGAGCACGGCGGCCAGCGCCGTGGCGGCCCGCGCCGCGGAACCGGCGCCCACCCGGCAGCCCGGGCAGCTCCCGTTGCCCGCCGG